TGCTGGCAGGAACAGACATGCTGGGGGTGGTCCCTGCGGTGGCTGAGGTGCCCCGCTTGGTGTGGGCTGTCTGGCTTGGAGCTGGCACAGCGTTTGGCATTCGGGTCCTCTTGGTCTCTCGTGTGAGCTTTACCAGTGTCACCCAGGGCATGGCAGCTGCATTTGGGGAGCGCACGGGGTGCTGGTAACCCAGGAGCTGCTTGGAGATGCCGCTTGGCTGGACCCTGCAGCTGTTCAGGTAGTTTTAGTACCTGGAGCAGTGCTGAGCTGTTTTCTTCTCCCCCGGGAGCGTGGGCAGGGGCAGGCAGCCGGTACCACCTTGCCCTGGCTGTGCCAGGGAGCCTGCCAGCACTTGCTGATTGGATTTGCCAGCGAGACAAGGGTGAGCCACCATCCTCTCCCCAGCATGGGGACCTTGTCCAGAGCAGCCCAACGGCCGCATCCCAGACACCGGGCTCCTCCCGGTCTGTCCCTTCCCTGGCACGTCATCCTGGGGAAGAGGAGCAAGGCACTTTCAGTGTCGCCTTTTCCGGGAAGGCTTTTCCTCACGACCCTGGGAAGCAACCCGTGAGGGAAGGGACTGCCAAATCGTGGCTAGGGCTCCTAAAAGGCTGGGCAGGATGCCATGACCCTCTGGGTTTGGTTACTTGCTGCTCTTGTGTCCCCATGGTAGGGCAAGGTGGGCACCACGCCGCGGCCGTGCCGGCTGGGCTTTGTCTCTCGCCGAGGCTCGCCGCTATAAATAACCGGTGATATCATCCCAGTCCCCGGCGTCGCCACAGAAGCGTGCACGCCCGGCCGGGGAGCGCCCTCCCGTGGGCACCAGTTTGCCCGGTGCTGGACAGTTTGGTATGGGATTTGGCACCCATCCTCCCTCCAGCCCCATTTGGTGGGTTTTGGGGTGTTGAATGCAGGCTGGGGGTGCTCAGCTGTGCCCACTTCATCCTATTCCCTCCTGCCAGGTGCTGGTGCCCACCCGTGTGGGGCAAGTGTACGTCTATGACTCCCCCAAGAGTGAGCAGGATGAGTATGATTTCCCTCGCCACCTCCTCTCCGTGGGCTCCCAGGAGATCTACGACGTGCCACCTGTCCGAGGGGGTGTCCCGAGTCAGTTCAGCCAGGAGGTGAGGCTGGGCAAGGTGTAGTGGTGTGTGTCTTGCTGACTCTATCCTATACCCAAGGAGATGCTCTGACACAACCTGGATAACAGCCCTGGGCAAATTACGTCCAAAGCTGGGCATGCTGTGGGCCTTGGGGCTGCTTCTGGCACCTCCTTCCTTCCCAGCTGGTTCCTGGGAGGAGGTGGGTGCCCACACCATCCCTGACACACTGTCCTGTGTCCCCCCCTCCAGGTCTATGACACCCCCCCCATGGCAGTGAAGGGTCCCAATGGGCAGGACCCGGGGCAGGAGATCTACGATGTGCCCCCCAGTGTGGAGAAGAACCTGCACCAAACTGTAAGTCCTGCTGGGAAGCTCCCGGCTTCTCCATATAAGAAAGACACATTTTCGTGAGAATCATCATTCACTGAAACAACCTCCCCAGGGATGCAGTGGTGTCCCTGGCACTGGAGGCTTTCAAAATGTGAGGAGACGGTGCTAGATGATCTCATTTGGGGATGAGGTTGGATCAGATGGTCTTTGAAGGTCCCTTCCAACCTGGGCTGCTCTGGGATTTTGTAATTCCCACCTCACAGGGGATGTGGGAGGCTGGGGGTGCTGCATCAGGGCTGTGCTGGCCTCCCCGGGGGCAGGGGCACCCCTGGGGTTCACGGCTCCATCCCAGGGCTCCCCTGGGGCTGTCCTGCACGCCCAGAGTCTGCTCCCCGCAGCACTGATGGTTCCTGCTGCTGCCCTCGCAGGTGTACGACGTCCCCCCCTCGGTGAGCAAGGATGTGCCGGATGGCCCAGCGCGGGAGGAGACCTATGATGTGCCCCCTGCCTTTGCCAAGCAGAAAACCTTTGACCCCTCCCGCCACCCCCTCATCCTGGCCCAGCAGGAGCCCTACTTGCCAGAGGATGTCTACGACATACCACCGGTAGCTGGGAAAGGTGCCCCTGAGCCGCAGCTCTCCCATGAGATCTACGATGTGCCCCCCAGCCTCAAGAAGCTGGGGGGATCAGCTTTCCCCTCCCAGGAAGTGTACGATGTGCCCCGGGACCTGCACGCCCCAGGCAAGGGCTCCCTGGACACGGAGGGTGAGTACATCTATGACGTCCCGCCGCAAGTGGACCGTGAGGCCAAGGGGGCCGATGCCAAGCGCCTCTCGGCCTCCAGCACGGGCAGCACCCGCAGCAACATCTCCACATCCTCACTGGATGTGGTGCCTGTGAAGGAGCCAGCCAAGGGAACCGGCAAGGAGTTCTCCCTGGACTTGGATGCCGCCATGGAGACGCTGGCCAAGCTCCAGCACAGCGTCAGCGGCGCCGTCTCCTACCTCATGTCCTTCATCAGTGCCAACTGGCGCAGCCCTGAGCACATGGAGGCCAATGCTGCCAGCATCCGCGGGGCAGCTGAGGGCGTGCGGACGGCCCTCCGGGACCTGCTGGAGTTTGCCCGGGGGGCGGTGGGCAATGCCGCCCAGGCCTCCGACCGTTCCCTCTACGCCAAGCTCAGCAAGCAGCTGCAGAAGATGGAGGAGGTCTACCAGGCCCTGGCACGGCACGGCCAAGCGCTGGACGCTTGCCACTGGGCCCCGAGTGCCCTGGCTGGTGGCAAGCAGGGCACGGATGACTTGGAGCACTTTGTCATGCACTCACGCGGCATCCCCGATGACACCAAGCAGTTGGCCTCCTTCCTTCATGGCAACGCCTCCCTCCTCTTCAAACGGACAAAGCCGGTGGTGGAGAGCGGTGGCCATGGGCCCCCTCACCCCTCCGACAAGGCCAGCAGCATCCAGTCGCGGCCCCTGCCCTCCCCGCCCAAACTGCTGGCCCAGGAGTCGCCTGATGGGCCCTACGAGAACAGCGAGAGTGGATGGATGGAGGATTACGACTACGTCCATCTCCAGGTGGGCACGGGCAGGGGGGGCTGCTCCCACAGGTGGGCATCGTGCCAGTGGCTCCCTGGCCCAGGAGCATTGGGCAGCTCTGGTGGTGCTGCCACTCACATCTTGCTCTTACTCTCTGGCTTGAGGATGGGGGTGACCAGGGATGTCCCAGGGCAGATGGGGGCTCACTCCTCACAAGGCTGGTGTTGGTGACCCCCATGTCATGCCCCTTCCTTCACTGCAGGGCAAGGAGGAGTTTGAGAAGACCCAGAAGGAGCTGCTGGAGAAAGGCAACATCATCCGGCAGAGCAAGGACCAGCTGGAGCACCAGCAGGTAACATTGCCAGGGTGGGCAGGCGTTGCTGGGCACAGCTCTTGGGGCGGGCAGCAGGGTTTTGGCTCTGCTCCCCTTGTGCCCCCAGCTGCCGGTCTGGGCCATGGCCCGCTCTTGTGTGGCCATCCCCACGGTGGGTTCTGCCTCAGCTCCCTGTCAGCGCCTTCCTCCTGGGGAGGAGCCTGGCACGGCTGTCCTGGGGCTGATGCTGTACCTTGCCATTTTCCTGGTGGAGGTGGACACAGCCACCTGTGCTGGTGGCTCCAGGGAGGGGAGAGGGCACTGACTCCGTGGCCATTCTGCCTCAACTGTCCCTCTCGCAGCTGAAGCAGTTTGAGCGGCTGGAGCAGGAGGTGACGCGCCCCATTGACAACGACCTGTCCAACTGGAGCCCCCCTCAGCACTACGGCCCGGCGCGGGCTGGAGGGACACTGTGTCCTGCTGACCGCCAGCTCCTCCTCTTCTACCTGGAGCAGTGCGAGGCCAACCTCACCACGCTCACCAACGCTGTCGATGCCTTCTTCACCGCCGTCAGCACCAACCAACCCCCCAAGATCTTTGTGGCCCACAGCAAGTTCGTCATCCTCAGCGCCCACAAGCTCGTCTTCATCGGGGACACGCTGTCTCGCCAGGCCAAGGCCCAGGATGTGCAGCACAAGGTGATGCACTACAGCAACCTCCTCTGCGAGATGCTCAAGGAGATCGTGGTGACCACCAAGGCGGCCGCCCTCCACTACCCTTCTCCTGCCGCCTCTAAGGACATGGTGGAGCGTGTCAAGGACCTTGCCAACAGCACGCAGCAGTTCAGGATGGTGCTGGGCCAGCTGGCAGCCATGTGATGGCCTGGGGCTTCTGTCCCCTCCCCACAGTCCCCAGACACGTGTCCCCCTCTATGAGAGCCCTCTGCCCTGTGTATGCGGACATGTACATAGAGACTCACCCACACACTGCGGGCCTGGGGCTCTGCTGGTAGAGGGGTGAGGGGCTGTGGCCATCATCCCCCTTACTCTTCTCCCTCCCTCTGGCCAGATGCCAGGATTGGATTCAGAGCTGTGGCCATAACAAAGCAAAGCTGGGAGGCGGTTTTGTGCCTGCTCCCTCCCTGCTGTCCCCTCTCTACAAATCGGGCAGCTGTTCCTGGCTTGGAGACCATGGGGCTGTGTCCCTGTTCAGTCGAGACAGATATGTGCCCGGCAGTTTGGTTGGTGCTCTGGCTGCTCCATTCATGGTGAGGCTCCCCAGTAGTCTCTGGCAGCCAGCAGGTTTGAATGGTCAGAAAACCACCCCTCATGCTGGGACAGTGTGGCAGGGATGAGTTATGCTGCCCCACACCGAGGGCTGTGGATGAGTGGCCCCAGGGTGGGAGGGGGTGACGGGGGTCTAGCCTGGCGTGGGTTGTGCTACCGTACCAGCTGTAACTGAAACGCAAACCGAAATTGGTGCCTTTTGAAAACAGGGGAAGCGTCCTCTAGTTTCCAGAGCTATGGAGTCACAGCCCCCCGAAACTGAGCCCCCTGCCCCCTAGCAGCATAAAAATTTGGCTAGAAATGCCCCTATCTCCTGACTATCTCTGTCTGCCTGCCAGAGGGACATGCTGGGGTGTTCTGTCCCCCAAGAGACATCACGGCCCATGGGCTTTAGGGGGAGTCCCTGACCCCCAGGGAGGGCTATGGGGGTGACAGAGCAGTGGGGCCACCCAGCCCTCTAGGGGACTGTCACTTCCCTACTGGCACTGGGAATCCCTCGGAGCACCTTGCCAGGGTTCATGAGGTTGTGGGGGTCCAGCGCAGCCTTGATGCGGCGCAGAGTGCTCAGCTCCTCCAGCAGCAGCCCCTGCCTGCTCAGCCCCATGCTGCTAGCACCTGCCTGCAGGATGGAGGAGTCAGGGGCTGGCATGGGGCCATCTGTCCCCCAGTTCCCATCCCCCTGGGTCATCCAGGTTCCCCACCTGCCCAGGCACTGGGTGAAGGTGTGGATGTGCCAGGCCTCGACTGGGTCCTGGGTATTGCTGAGGAGACAGTGAAAGATGCCATCACCCACCTGTCCCTGGGTGGACACCCAGGGGTCTGTGGGCAGGGGGATGAGCAGGGAATGGTGATGGGGGCAGGATGGGCGGCTTGTGTGGGGACAGGGCCATGGGATGTTCCTGTGGGACCCCATGCCATGCCCAGCCAGCACACCTGGAGCCTGGCCCCACAACAGCCCCAGTGCACCCCTGGGCCCATAGTGCACAGCTCCCTTGGACACTTCTGGGACCACAACACCTCAGTGGGGACCCCCAGCACCCTTGCGACCACAGCATACCCATGGGCAACCCCACCACCTCTGGGGTGACAGCAGCCCGGTCCCATGAGGACCCCAGCACCCCAGCATCCCCAGCTCTGTGGGCACCCATGGTACACCCCTGGGAGCATGGCACACTCCAGGTGACACCACCCCCCCCTTCCCCAGCACCTCTGGGGCCACAGGACCCCATGGGGACCTCAGCACCCCTAGGACCCTGGCACTGCAGACCCATGAGCTTCCCCCAGCACGCCCTGGGACCATGGCAGGCCCAGGACCACAGCACTACTGGGGCCATGGCACCCCCACCCCATGAGCACCCCTCCTACACCCCTGGAACCACAGCACCCTTGGCCCCATGGGCACAACCAGCCCCCCCGGTGCTCCCAGCAGCCCCAGCCCCACAGGTGTCCCCAGCACCCCCAGTTCTGTCACACCCAGCCCCGGGTCCCCCCCAGGTGCTGCGCCAGTGCCCACGGTACCGACGGGGAACCAGAGCCCGGTGCCACGCAGGTGGCTGTTGAGGGCCTTGCGGGTGACGCCGGGCTCCACCGCCACTGAGAAGTCCTCGAGGCTCAGCTCCGCGATGGCGTCCATGCGGCTCAGGTCAAAGCAGATGCCGCCCTGGCACAGGGGCACCGGCGTGGCTGGGCACGGCTGGGCACCGAGAGCCCCCGCGCAGGGGGTGCCGGGGGGGCTGTACCTGCACGGCGTTGACGCCTCCCTCGAGGCCGGTGCCGGTGCCGAAGGGCACCATGGGCACGCGGCAGCGGTAGCAGAGCGCTGCCAGCTCCTGCACCTGCCCCACCGCCTGGGGCCACACCACGGCGTCCGGGGGGGCACAGCTGGAGACACAGGGTGGCACCGCGGCCCCACGGACCTCCCTTCCCTGACACCCTTCCCTGCTCCAGCCTCCTCCCCTCCCCATGGCCCTTCCCCTGCCCAGACCCTTTCCCTGCCCAGACCCTTCCCCTCCCCAGACCCTTCCCCTACACAGATCCTTCCCCTCCCCAGACCCTACCTCTCCCATGCCCCTTCCCTTCCCCTTTCCCCTTCCCATGGCCCTTCCCCAACCCAGGACCCTGCCCCCTGGGTCACCCCCATGTACATGGACTTGTGTTGGTGCTGTTCCTTGGGGCCCCCAACCACGGCCCTCAGGGCCCCCACAAAGCACACAGGTGCCCCAGGCGTGGGGGTGCAGGGGGGGTGAGGGCCCCATCAGGGTGAGGCTGGGAGGGTCTGGCCTGGGAGCCACTGGCCTGCAATCCTCACACACAGCTGAGGGCATGGGGCCACACTGGGACCCCTGGCTCCCGGTGTCCCCTGTCCCTCTGTGCCCCACAGGACCCAAGTGCCCCCATCCAGCCCCACCTTGGACCAGCAGCTCCACCACCCCAGCCCCAGCACACGCCTCAGAGCCGTGCTGGGACCAGCACCAGGACTTTGCCCTTCCCAGCTGCTGGCATTTCTGTCCCCTCCCTCTGTCATCTGCACTGTCATCTTAAGGTGGCTCTGGCTGACAGGGCCATGGGGCTGGGACAAGTGTCCTATCCCAGCTGGAGGCCCAGCACACATGCTGGGTGTCCCTGTGCCCGGCCTGGTCTCCGCACACACGTCCTTGTGTCCCCATGCTGGGTGTACAGCCAGGTGTCCCCACGCCTGCTCAGGTGTGGCTCCACGTGGCCATGTGCCCCTGCCTTGCTCAAGTGTTCCCAGGGGAGGTCACAAGTCCCCAGGCCTCCTGCCCTCCTTGGTCCTGGCAAAGCCTTATCCCTAAACTCAGACAGGTGTCCCCTGCCTGGCATGGGTCCCTACACTTGGCCCTGAGTCCCCACACGTGTCCAGGTGCCCCTGACCCCACAGGAGGCCACGTGTCCCTGAGTCTCCAGCCCTCCTGGCCAGGTGTCCCCACACACAGACTGGTGTCCCCACACCCCCCAGCCTCATGTCCCCATGCCTGGACAGGTGTCCCCACCCAGCCGGGTGTCCCCATCCCTCCAGCCATGCTGGCGATGTGTCCCCACGACCACAGAAGTGTCCCCCCAATCACAGAAGTGTTCCCACGATGCCTGACCATTCATCCCCCGGCCGACCGGCTGCCCCCCACCGTGTTCCTGCCCATCCCAGTGCCACAGCGAGGAGGCAGCGTGGTTGGTGTGGGGTGACAGCATTTATTGCCGGCCTCAGTTGGCCGCCAGGATGTCGTTGACCCAGCTGCGGAGCTTGGTGACACGGGCGTAGACGCCGGGCACGTTGGTGGCGCAGGTGCTGCTGCCCCAGGAGACGATGCCCACCAGGTTCCAGACGCCGTCCTTCTCGCACACCAGCGGGCCCCCGGAGTCGCCCTGCGGGCAGCGGGTGAGCACAGGGGCCAGGGGGGGAAGGGGGAGACGGG